TGTTAAATTGCCAATGACATTGGCATTTATCAGAATTCTATGGCTAAGACTTTGCAAAATTTTAAAAAGAGATACATTAGGCTTGAAAACATTTCCTCATCAGCATGTGGGAATTGATGAGATGCTGCACATGTCTGCAAGGGATCATCAGAGTCTTACAAATAAAGTTGATGACTGTTACCCCTTGGAGTTACGATATCTCATACAGGACCACCCAATCTACTATTCTGACTAAATTCAACCAAACAGTGGATTTGACTGATGCTTGACTGAACTGACACATATGGATCCACCTTTTCATGTGTTCTCTGCCTGTCTACCTTGACTGATACACTATGAGTCATACATGTGCCGTACTTTACATACATTACTTATTTCATCCACAAAGATGGCTCTATAATTTTGTATGAATTCTCTATGAATGAGATGTGACTGAAAGATGTGGTCATTCTAATTTACTCCTACTTATTAACATGTGGTAGGATTAGTATTTCTAAACCTGCATGGAAAGAAAGTAGACAGGCTACAGAAACTGGGGGTGGGGCCAGAAGCTACTCTGTGAATCCAATATCTTTCATCTGCCATAAGCTGCATAAGGAAATAGACTCCAAGACTGACCACAATATTCCCATCACTTATCCTCTTTGCCAATTTGCTGGTTATGTTACCTCAGAATTATTTTTTTTTTCATTTCTCTTGTAAGTGATTTGTAGCAATCATGGTAATGACTTGCAGAGTTGTTTTTTGTTTTGGGTTTTTGTTTGTTTTCTTTTTTGGAGAACTATACCCTCTGCTCTTCCATTGGAGGAAAAAAGTCCAAAAAAGCATCTGGTTTTCTTTTGTGGTAATTTCTGGTCCAACCTTCAAAATTCAGATCACATGGCCATTTTGAACTTATTATGGAATATGGTATAAGATATTGATCTAAACTTAATTTCTGCCAAACATTTCTAGTTTTTCCAGTGATTTTTTATCAAATAGGGAGTTCTTACCAAAGAAATATTTCTTCTCGGGTTTATCAAACACTGGGTTATTGAGTTTCTGCCTGGTCTCTTCCTCTGATCTACTTTTCTATTTTTTAACCAGTTGCAAATAGTTTATGCTTTGTAGTATAATTTTCCATCTGGAAGTGCTGCTTTTCCTTCATTTGTTTTTCCAATGGAATTTGCAAACAAATTATTTTAACATTCTGTTTCAACCTGAGTCCCCTTGTTTAATCTACTCCCTCTTCAGAACACATGTGAAATCAAGCAGCTTGGTCTGAAGAATATTTTTTTTGCTTGTGTCTTAAAATGTACCTCTCCAGGACAGATAGATTATTCATATGACTTACAGTCAAATCAGTCAATCAGCCAATAAATATTTTTTAAGCAGGCACTAGCTTGGAACAGAACCAGTAATCAAAAATACTTCAGCAGAATAGAAATAAGATAAAATGTAAGACAAGTGCCTAACGTGTCAGGCCTTGTACTAATATACAAATAGAAAGAGTCCCTGCCCTCAATCTGTTAGGGAAAGACTAAAAGGGAGCTAAAAGGAAGCTAAAAAGGGAGGGGAGAAGGAGGAAGGTACCTGGCCACAGGGGATGATGGAGTCTAGTCCAAAGAATTAAGCTGGTAGGAAATGAAGTTATGGCTGGCTTGAAGCCCTCTTTAAATGGAAGCTTTAGGAAGAGTTCTTTTTTTTGCCTTCTAGACCTCCAGTCATATTGGCAAAGGGCACTGAGGATACTAATGAGGTATAAGTACCAAGACAGATACAATCATGCAGGAGAATGATGAATTTCCTGATGATGAGGTTTCTCAGAGCCTTGGTGGTGTCTACCTGGTGAAAAATGAAAAGGATAAGTTCAAAGTCCTCTACTTCTCTGTTAAAAAATCCACTACCTAAGCATAAGGTAGAAGTACACATTTATGAGATAGTCATGATAAATTTAGGAAATTTGTTGGAGTGCAAACCAACAAGTCAACGATGTGAACCAGCTGCCCCCCCCAAAAGCTATTGGGATCTTTAGCTGCTTGAATATGTGTATGTATGCATATATATGTATACAATATATACACACATATATGTGTGTATATGTATGTGTATACACACACACACACACACACATATTCCAGAACAAGGGACATAATAGTTCTGCTATACTATGTCCTCTTTAGAGCATATCTAAAATATTATGCTCGGTTCTGATCACTACCATGCTTTAAAAGGGATTAGATGGCATACAACTGGAGCAGGGTGACCAGGATGGAGAAGGGTCTAGAAACATGGCTTATAAGGTTGGTTGAAAGAACTGGTGATTTTTTAGCCTGGAAAAAATATAAAAATTAAGGGGAAATACTTGAATATTTGAAATACTGTCATATGGAAGAACAATTAGTCCTATTTTAGGTAGCTGTAGAGGGTAGAACTAGGACAAGGATAAGGAAAAAACAGAAAGGCATACTTTAGCAAAACTTAAAGAACTTTAAACTAGAGCTGTTCCAAAATAAAATGGCATCTTGTAACATATTGTGTCCGGAAAGTGTTAAGCATAGGATGGGAAGTTGATCAGAATAATCCCTAAGAGTATCATAGCGGAAAGGCAGCATTGGTGTAGAGGAGAATGCTAGATGTGCTTGCTTCAGGAACTTACTGTGTGACCACAAGAAAATAATTTACTCTTTCTGAATCTGTTTCTTCCTCTTTAATGAGGCTAGTGACACCTGCAATGAGAAACAGTTTGGCATAGTGGATAAAAAGCCAAACTGGGAAGCAGAAAGAACTGGGTTTACATGTTGCCTCTGACACATACTGGCTGTGTGACCAAGGACAAGTCACTCAAGCCTTCAGTGCCCCAGGCAACTCTTTAAGACAGTAAGCTGTGGTTAAGTTCTCAACTTATTTTTGTGGAAGGAGTTTGGAGGGAGTTCCCACACCACTGGATTCCCTACTCCAGTGAAATCATAGGTGAAAGAGGCGGAGAGGATACCTATAGTACCTACCTTTCAGGGTTGTTGTGAGGACTCAGTGAGATTAATTTGTGCAAAGAGTTTTGCAGTCTTAAAGGGCCAAATATAAATGTTGCTGCCATTATTAAGCTCCCTTCCATCTAGAGGATCCTGTGATTCTATGCTACGTGCAGAGTACTGTGTTAGTCATTGTGGAAGACAAGGCACCATCACTGCCAGCAAGGAGTTTAAAAGATAGTTGTAGAGACAAGAGACAAACGTGCAAATTCTCAAAAAGTCTTTTACAGTGCTGTGTGCCATAAGTGTGAAATGGATGGTATAGTCTCTAAGTGCTGTAGAGCTCAAAGGAGGAAGGGATCAATCTGGGCTGGGGAAAACGACATGAAGAAAGCATGAGAAGAGCCAGGGAAGTACAGAAAAAAATACCAGCTCTGGAGTCAGAGAACTTCAATTCAAATCCCATGTCTGAAACTTGCTACTTCCCTGGGCCTCAGTTTCCTCATCTGTTAAATTTCTTTCTTCCAGTTCTAGAGCTATGATTTTATAATAGGCTGGCTTCAGGTCTCTTACAGCTCTATGTCTGTGGGCCTATGATACAGTAACTGGCATTATGTATTTTTAAAAAAAAAGTGAAGAGGGATTTGGCTCAGGCCCATGAAGCAGAACACGGAACACTTGGGAGAGGTTTCAGACGGGCATTTTTGGGATCAATATAAGGGAAAAAGACCCTATAGTTAGAGCTGCGCAAGAGTGAAATTGACTTCCTCATGTTGTAGCAAGTTCCCTGTCATTGGAGAGCGTCAAGAGGAGGCTGCATGACCGCTTGGCAGGTCTTCAGTAGAGGGGACTCCTATTCAGGTTCACGCCAGCCTCTGGGGTCCCTTGTGATTTAGGAAGGTTAATCTTGTAGTGGCATATGCAGGGTAGCTGATTAGAGTGAAATGGATTGAATTTATTAACAGAAACAGACTGGAGGGAAGAATCACAGGATTTCATAATTGGAAGGAACCTCAGAGGCCATATGGTCCAATGTCCCTGAAAAAAAAGAAAGTCCCCGCTACAACCTACTCCCCATAAGGATATTCAGCCTTTTCTTCAAGAGCCTTACTGAGGGGACTCCCCACTATTTCATGAAGAAGCCCATCGCACTTTTGCACAGCATTAAGCTTTTCCTTGTGACGAGCCTATATTTGGCTCTTCACAACTTCTACCCATTGTTCCTCATTCTCCCTTCTGGGGCAAAACCCACCATGTCTAATCCCTCTTCTCTACAACAGCTATTCAGACACATGGACAGCTGAGTCTGTTCTTCACCAGGCTAAATATCCCCAGTTAGGATTCCATTAGAACAGCCCGTTAGAACAAGTACAAAATGTTAAGGACCTAAATTCAGTACAGTGGTGGAGCAGGAATGAAGGGGAGAAAATGGATGCTAGTGAATACTTTGGAAGAAGAGTCAGTGGAGATTAGTATGGGAATTAGTATGGAGAATGGGGGAGAATGAGGCATCCAAAATGACCATAGTTTTGAGTCTGAATGATTAGCAACATGGCAACACCATTAGTAGAAATGGAAAGCCATAAGATAGAGCCATTTTGGGAGCAGACATGAGTTCATTTGGGATATGCTATTTGAGGTAACAGTGGAACATCCAAATAGAAGACTAATAGGACAGTTGAAGGGAAGAAGGGCCTTCCAGGCAAAGAGCTGGGAAAGCTCAGAGCATGTGTTTGACATGTTTGTGGTCAGATAGTAATCCATTTTGGTTGGAGCACAGAATATACAACAAAAAACCAAATGGATAGAACTGAGAAAATGTTCTTTCCACTAGACCAAGAAACCTGGTTAATCCATAAGCAAAAATAACCACTGGATCACCAGTAACTGACAGTATATCCACATTAAGAATAACATCGACTATATTCTGAAATTATTTCCTTATATGGTTATGAATCCTGCGTGAAAATTTCCCCAGACAGGTGCCCCAGGGTAATTGACATGCCATGACTGACTTTTTTCTCTTCCTCTTCCCCTGCTGTCCTGTAGACCCGATGATGTGCTTCTGAAGCGTACCCATGATGAGATCGTCCTATTGCACTGCTTCCTCTGGCCCGTGGTGACCTTCTTGGTGGGAGTACTTATCGTGGTGCTGACCATCTGTGCCAAGAGCCTCGCTGTCAGAGCAGAAGCTTTGAAAAAGCGGAAGTTCTCCTAAGGGGAAATGGCACGAGAGAAAGGATCCAAAGATCAAAAGGAGATGAGGGGAAACGTGTCATACACTGCTGTCTTTCTCATCACCTCCTCAGCCCCTGCAAAGCTTCTTCAGTGTCTTGGGAAATGCAGGTGTGGCCAGTCTCCCAGCAAGGACTCCTGTGAGAAGGTTCCATGAATTATCTCTGGAAGGCTTGTCCTCAAAGGCAGTAGAAAGGAGCAACCAAAAGGCTCAGAATCGCACATGTTGTATTAGACATTTCTGAGCAGTGGCTAACGTGTTTAGCTCTTAGCTGTATGAAATGACCATTCAGAAAATCCTGTAGATTTAATTTCATTTGAAAACAAACAAACAAACAAGCTACATTCTGCCACTTGGTATGATGTAGAATACAAACCGTCATGACTAATGCTATTTAAAATATTAAAGCAGAGTGGTCTGATTCTTTTTTAATGTCTGCTTTCTATCCTGAATGCAGAGCACTGAGAGGTAAGGTTCTTTTATACTTCATTTAATTCTTGTGGATCAAAGTTTCATTTTTCTGTGAGGATTTCTGCACAAAACTGGACCTAACCATACTAACCTCCGTTATTCCTCTTATAAAATGGTAGTAAACATCTTTCTGGAATAATCCCACTCCTTTCATTAAAAGCAGCCCTTAATTCTTAAAGGTTGGAACAGGAATGCATTTCTGTTGGCACCAGTGTTTTTGTGACACTTAAACAAGATGGGTTTGTGGATTAGGAAGAATTATCCTAAAACTGAATTCCCTCTGCCCAAATATTGGTTCTTGCTAGAGATCTTATTAAGAGAGAGAGGCTCAGACACTGTCTTTCCACTCCCAGAAATGTTGGGATTTGTTAGGTATCCCTTGTGTCAGAGTAATTGTGTGTGTGTGTGTGTGTGTGTGTGTGTGTGTAGGTGGGGGCAGGGGAGGTTCTCCCTTCTCTTGGCTAATATGCCCATACTCAAGATACTTGCAGGGCATCCATCAGTATCCTGCAACTGACCTTTCCCCACCCCTCCTTTTGGAGGCTTACTGTTCACAATATGACAAGAAAGTTTTAATGGAAGAAGGAAAAAAACAAAACAAACTCTTGAATGATCATTAATCCTAAGGATTCTTAAAGTCATTTACTAGATCTAAAACTAATGTGGATTGACTAGGGCTTTGCTCCCAGGCAACCAAGGTACTGAGAGCAATTATACTCTTTTAATAGAAAATAATTGAGCTTAGAATCTAGTTAGTAAAAAGAGTTTGTCTAACAAGCATTTATTAAGCACTTATGATGTACCAAGTACTGTGCTAGGTCCTTGGGATACAAAAACAAAAATGAAACAGTCCCTCACTCTCAAGGAACTTATATTCTATCTGGTGAGAGATGTACATCTTAGAGACGGTATGCTGGCACACCCTGGTATAAGCATTCCCACTAGGCCCTTCTCTAGAAGCATACAAATATATCAGTACATATGCACATATACAGAGCTTGAGACAGATGTGCCAACACACCCTGGGATGAACATTAATTAACACTGGTCCCCTTCCCCTTGTGGCCACTCTCTCATTCCTGCCTATGATGTACATAAATAAATTTATACAAAATAAATACAAAGCAATTGGGGGTGGCGAGAGACACTAGCAGCTGGAGGGAACAGAAAAGTCCCAATGTAGAAGGCAGATGATACTTGAACTGAGCTCTGAAAGAGAGTTGAAGGTGAAGAGCGAGCACATTTCAGACATGAAGGATAGCCTGTATGAAAGCACAGAGACGGGTGATGGAGTGTTGTATGTGTGTAAGAAAGAGCTCGAAGGTCATTTGGCAGGACTACAGCATATGTAAAGGGAAGTAATTGGCAGTGGAGAGCATTAAGGACCAGACAGAGGAATTTTTATTTAATTCTAGAGGCAATTAGGAGCTACTGGAGTTTAATGAGCAGGGGAGTAACACAGGTGTTGATTCAGGCTTGGAGAGCAGAGTGAGGGAATCATCCACTTATATATAATTAAGACCTAGGGATCTGATGAGATTAGCAAATGACAGAGTATAGAAAAAGGGGAGGATGCACATTACAGAGGTGTACATCCACAGTTGTGGGGCAAGATATGGGACATGGTCCAATAGAGACTGAGGAGGAGTGATCAGACAAGTAGGAGAACCAAGAAACAGTGGTGCCATGAAAACTAGAGAAGAAGGTATCCAGTGGAAGAGGTTGGTAAGCAGTGTGACACAGTGCAGAGAGACAGAGAAGGATGAGAAGTGAAGAGGATTTCATACGGTAATTAAGATCATTGGTAACTTCGGAGAGAGCAGCTCTAGCTGAGTGATGTGGTTGGAAGATGTTGCAAAGGGTTGAGGAGGGAGAAGAAATGGAGGAAATGTTGGAGAGTCAACAGATTTTTCTAGAAGCTTGGTTGTGAAAGGAGGAAAGATATAGGCCAATGGCTTGAGATGGTAGAGTCAAGTGAGGATTTTTCAATTAAAAGAAAAAGCCACCAAAAGGGAATGTCTTCCCCATCCCTCCATGCCCACTATCCCCACTCCCCTGCCAGGTAAGCTCCTTTCCTGTCCAGCTGATGCTTCTGGATAAGATGGCAGGCTTTTTAGCATCGGCTTCTCAGCTGCCTTGAGGAATCCTAGGGTCTCCACCCACCCAGCTGGAGTCTGTCTGTGTCTCTACACCATAGATGCAATGTCCTGAGACCTTTTCCTCGCTTCTGGACTGAATTGTTGATTTAAGAGTGTGTTTTATACTTCTTGCCACAGGGCGATTTGTGAAGCTTATTCTGTGTTATCCCAAATTGCCAATTATATAGCTCTGTCAGAGTTGAAATTATAAGAGCTCCTCTAAGGAAGGCCCTCCAAATCCCTGTCTTCTTCACCCACAGCTCTCTGCTGGTTAAGGTTGTAGTTCTGGGTATGCGTGTGGAGTCCTTTCTCCCTACTTCCTGTGCCCTGAAAGAAGGCTGCCCCTTCTACACATCTCAGACAAAATACATAGAAAACTCTAGGGTTTTCTGCCTTTTGATGCCTTCTCTCCAATGCAGAAGAAGGGATAAAATTTCAAGAGTTTTTCTGGTCTTGTCAGGGCCTCTGATCCCCTTTCTTGGTCTCTTTCTTTTAATTCCCTTTCCTTTCTCAAGCTTCCCTGGTGACACTCCTTGCCCCCACTCCCAACTACACCTCACCACTCTTTTAGGGTTTGCTTGTGTCTGCCATCAGGCAGTTACCAATCTCTCCTAATCAGTGTGAACCAAGATAACTTAAAACATTTTTTTGATGTCATGGTTACCTCTGGAGGCCTGATGAAGCCTATGGACCTCTTCTCAGGATAATGTTTTAAATGCATAAAACAAAATCTGTAGGATCACAAAAGAAACCAATTGTTGAAATAGTTTTTAAAATATGTTTTAAAAAATATTCATGGACCCCCTAAAATCTAGGCTAAGAATCCCTGACATAGGACAGACAGCAGATCCCTGCCTAGACTACCACAGCTCTTCTCAGTACAAACAAATAAACAAAACAAAACAAAACAAAAACTATTGCAGCTTTTATCTGGGTCACTTCACTCAAACACAAAAGGTCTGCAGAGCACTTCGTCTACATTATCCTATTTGAGCCTGCTAACAACTCTCTGAGGTATGTGCTATCATTGTCCACATTTGACAGAAGAGGAAACTGAGGTTAATGAAGTTAAGTGGCTGGTCCAGAATCTACTGCTAGCAAGTATCTCAAATAGAATTATGATCCATGCCTTCTTGACCCCAGGTCCAACACCGTATCCATGATACGACTACTTTTCCTTTTATTAATAGAAAATAAAGGCAAATTGGAACTTAAACAATTTCTACTGTTTCCCCAAGAGACAAAGCAAGCTGTTCAGTTGTTGTGGTCATAGCTTTGTTGAATCTGTGATTCTCCTTGTCAATCTCATTCAAATTCTCCCATATTTGACTGGAACAAGACATAACTACATTAACAGCTCACACTATGGTGAGGTAGCTGGATTTAAGATTCAGAAGATTTCAATTCAATTGATAGGGTTATAGGTTGAGAGTTGGAGGATTCCTTAGACATCAGCTAATCCAACTTTCTCATTTCACCAAGAAGAGAATTGAGACAGAGACATGATTATGACATTTGTGCAACTTGTCCCCTTGACATTATGCCATGCTGCAAGAAGATAGCAACATGATGTAGTGGAAAGAATGTTAGATTTGAGGTTGGTCAATCAATAAATCAATATTTATTAAACAACTATGGTAACTCTTCTAGGAGTTGAGAGTACAAATACAATGAACAAAGTAGCCCCTATACACAAAAAGCTTATATTTAGAGGCTCTTTTTTCAAATTCCAGGCCTACCATTCATTACCTGTGTCACTGGGCAGGTTATTTATACTACCAGCCTCAGTTTCCTCATCTGTCAAATGAAGAGTTGGACTAGATGATCTAAGGTCCTATCTAAATCTATGATTTTCTTGAGCTACCAACTCTATTTTGGCTACAGTTTGTGTTTTTCCTGAAGCATCCTTGTTTCCTTAGTAGCCAATGGAAACATTCAGCATTGTATTTGAGCAAATGACTGAAAATCTTCCCCCCCCCACAAAAAAAAAGTTGGCACCTTTGAGTCATTTGTCAAGAAGTGAATTAATGGTATCCATTGCATCCATCTATGTTTGGAAGGATTGTGGCAGTGTGTAATACTTTTCTCTCTATAGAAATCTCTCAGTAAAGGAGAAAATAGAATGTGACTCAAAGATCAGGACATTCAGTTCAACAGTTGGATTCACCTTAATCTACACTTGTTAAACTTTTCATTTGGGGTCCAAAGACTTCATTTTCTGGATGCTTTTGTGAAAATGTAACAAGCAAATTGTGTTTTTTTTTTTTTTCAAACATACCTTTGCATGTTCCACTTGTCTTCAACCAATTAGAATTATGGTTCCTAGGCCCTATTAGAAAGTAAACCATTTCTAGTATGATGTTATATTATTTTTGGTTATAGGAGACATACAAGGAAACTAGAGAGACTGCATGATATAGTAGACAGGATGCTGGATCTGGAGTTAAGAAAGACCTGGGTTCAATTTTGAGCTTGACACTGTCATTTCTTCACTTTGAGCATCAGTTTCCTCATTTAAGAAGTAGGGATGATGAGGCAATGAGATTAGTGGATTATCCCCCCGCCTCCAATTACAGTAGAAATCTAAATAGCATGATTTGAAGCACTGAAAAGGCTTGGATACTCCTTATTTGGTCAGTGCAATTTAATAACCTTAATTCTTTGAAGTTTGGGATTTATGACAAGCATCCTTTTTCACAACATCCAGTCTTTGCCTCAAATTAAATTTCACAGTATTTGTTGTGTTTCTTGCAGTACAAAAAAATGAGATAGAACCAGTGTTAAGAATGTTGTAACTTACCATGAAGGGGTTGAGTAAACAGGTACAAAAAGGAATCAATTGGAGGTCCAAAAAGACATGAAAGTAAGAAGAAATTCAGAGAAGTCACGTGAGGTGAGGTGATTGAAGGATCAGCTAATTTGAGAAGATTTTGAAAAACATTTTAGCTATTGTGAAAATGTGCCCCAAGGTTAGAAGTGCAACTGTCAA